CCCCCCCCCCCCCCCCCCCCCCCCCCCTTATTTTACACCACCGTTTCCTCCAAACTTCCTGTTTTGCTACTTGCTAATTGTTTAGTCATGACTCACTTCCTATTTACACAGCATGAACCGTCCAGTTTCTTTGGTCAAAAAGAGCGTGTGTGGGGGGGCGAGTCCATGACGTGAGCCGGGCCCGCAGCCTCCTGTAGGAGCAGCTGCGTTGGTCTTTAGCTGATAATAAGAGGCTCTGTTTCCTCCCAGCTGACAGTCAGAGACGACAGCTACTGTACCATGTCAGTCAGAGTTAATGGAAGTGTGCTGTTAATTAGCTTCGGCTCGTATCTTCTGCCGTTTGTTAAGTGCCTCTCTTGGGATTTTATAAATTATAGGAACATTTGGTGATGTCACAGCCGGACTTGTTTTAAAACACACTCACAGTGAAGGAGAGAATGAAGACAGGTCACATTCTGCAAAGTCCGGACTTTCTGGTTCTTTGCTTTTTTTGTCTCTCAGCTCCAAATGCAGCCGAAGCCGGCAGCTGATTAACAAATTTGCCATTCAAAGCCAGCTTCCTGCTCCATGAGCAGTTTTTCATCATTCTGGCTGCTTCTGTTGGTCATGGAGTTTGTTCGGCTCCTGGTTTTTTCTTTTTTGTTTTGTAACGTTCCACTCCACAGTCAAACCTGAGAGCCAGAGATGAGTTTGTCCTGTTGCTCTTACCGAAGCTTTACATGAATTAGTGTGAGCGGGCCTTAAATGAGCTAAAAGGTTGTGAACAAACGTGTGCACGTCAGAATTGCGTTAGAAATAATTAGAGGAACGACGTTTCCTGTAAAACTGCAGGGAGAATGCTGAGTGCTGCTAAAGTTAGCTGAAGAAGCTGAAACTGAATTATCAAAGCTAAAAGAAGCAAAGCTAGCTAAAAGTTAAGAGAAACAAAACTATCTAGAAGTTAAAAATAACAAACACAAGTAGCAAAAGGATATCTTGAAGCAATGAATGACAAAAAAAATTAAAGCTGAATTGCTGAAAGTAGCAAAATGGTATTTAGAAGCTAAAAGTATCTAAACTTTAGCTAAAAGCAAAAAAGGTTAGTTCAAATCTTAAAGTAGCAAACTGCAGCTAAAAGTTACAAAAGCAGAACTAGAAGTTAAACATTTTAGAGCAATATCTTAAAGCTAAAAGCAGCAAAAGTGTGGCTAGTAAATCAGAACGTAGCTAAAAATAGCAAAATGTTAACTAAAAAGCTAAATGTAGCCAAAGGCTAGCGAAAAGGAGGTAAATTATAACTATAAGTTAATATTAAAAATTTATAGCTAAAAAGATCTAAACACTAGCTAAAATCAACACAAGTTTAGCTCAGTCTTAAAGTAGCAAATTGCTTACTAATAGCTGCCAAAAACTAGCTAGAAGCTAAAGTATCTGAATTATAGTTTAAAGCTAAAATAGCACAACAGGAGCTAAAAGTATCAGAACAGTAGCCTAAATCTAAAAGTAGCAAAACTGTAGCTAAAAGCAGCAAAAGGCAAGCTAAAAAGTAAATGTAGCAGAACAGTAGCTAAAAGTTAAAAGCACCAAAAGGCTAGCTAGAGGCTAACACTATCAGAACAGTAGCTACAAGCAAACGTATGGATGAAAATCTCAATATCAGAACAGTAGCTAAATGTAGCAAAATGTTAGCAACAGAGTAAATGTACAAGAGCAGTAGTTAAAAATAAAAAGTAGCAAAAGTCTAGCTAGAAGCTAACACTATCAGAACAGTAGCTACAAGCAGCAAACGTATAGATGGAAATCTCAACATCAGAACAGTAGCTAAAGGTAGCAAAATGTTAGCAACAGAGTAAATGTACAAGAGCAGTAGTTAAAATAAAAAGTAGCAAAAGTCTAGCTAAAAGCTAAAAGTATCAGAACAGTAGCTTATGACTAAAATTAGTCAAATAAAGTTGAAAGCAGCAGAAGTATGGCTACTTCCAGCCATACTTTTGCTGCTTTAAACTTCTATTTGACGACTATAGAACTATTAGAACAGTAAAAAAGCAGCAAAAGGTTAGTTAGAAGTTAAAAGTGTCAGAACATTAGCTTGAAGCTAAAAGTAGTAGAAAATATACACAAGTAGCAAAAGGCTAACTACAAGTGATAAGTATTTCAGCACTAGCTTTAAAGCTAAAAGTAGCAGAATGAAAGCTGAAAGTAGCAAAAGGCTAGCTTGAAGCTAAAAATATCAGGGCAATAGCTTGAAGCTAAAAGTAGCAAAAGGTTAGCTAAAAAAATGTAGTGGAAAAGCTAAAGCAAAAAGTAACAGAACAGTTGCTAAAACAGCAAATGTTTATCTAAAACGTAAATGCAGTGGAACAGTAGCTAAAAGCTAAAAGTAGGTAAAAAGATAAATAAAGAAAAATGTCTGCTGAAGCAGATTTCAGAGAGAATTCCTTTTTTTTTGTTTTGTTTTTTTAGAGAACTGAAGTGATTTTATTGTTTTCTGTGGGGAAAATATTTGTAAATTAAGGTTGTTGTTTTTTTAAAGTATAAAAGTTACAAAAATCCAAAGCCACTCTGTAGCAGCTGAACATTTTGGTAAAACAACAGCTAAAATATTACAGAAGTAAGTTTGAACAGGAAATCATGTGGATGCTGAATGATCAGATGATGGAAACGTGAGCTGCAGCAGCCGAAACACATCCAGCTTTAAAAAAATCTGTCAGAGACAACGCTCGTGTGCACCTCCATCTATCAGGTGGTTCTGGAGCTGCGCTCCTCCACCAGCTGACTCAATGAGCAAACATCTTGACTGAAAGGATTCAGAGCTTCTGCTCAAAGAAAAAAAGCTTTTGTTGGAAGTGCCACGGCCTCACGTGAGCGACAAACCTGTCAACCCATCGCTCCCGACCTACTGGGAGAAACGCTGCTAAAGGTGGGGTGAAGGTGATGGACACGGTTACCTTTAGTGGACCTCGTCCCTCTGGACCCAGGGTGTCCTCCTTCCATCTCCAGCTTCTCCTCCCGCTCCTTCCAGCGCTTAACCTGCTCCTGGCGCATTTTCAGGAACAGGGTCTTCTTCTGGTCGTCGTTGAGGCCGTCCAGCACGTCGGGGTCCACGTACATGTCGTTCAGGATCTGCTGCAGCATCGTGGCGGGGTCACCGTGGAGCCAGCAGCTGAAGCGGTCAGGGGTCAGAGGTCGGCAGCTTCTTGACGTGGACCGATGGTGGCTTACGGCTTCATGTTGTTAAGGTTTCTTAACTTCTGTACGAAACAAGATTCGCTGGCATGTGTGCACGGCTTCACATGCATTCAACGCTGCTGGCATTCAGTTTGCTCTCACTGTGGAGGCCATCTTTGGAACAACCTGAGAAACACACGGGGACAGTTTCAGAGATTCAAGCGCTCAAAGTTTCGTTGCGTGTCAGAAACAGATTGTGTTCCAGATGTTGCTCCTGTCTGCTCAGGAACACGGAAGAAGCCGAAGCTCCTCCACTGACAGAGACCGGAGCAACAGGAAGAGACTCCAACCACTGTTTCTGTCATCAGTGGACAAGTCCACCACCCCCACACATCCTTTCTAAAAGAAACCATGTTCCTTTCTGCTTCCTCCCAGCGGCGGCGCACGGCAGCAGCTGCTTGTGGCCCGTCAGGCGGCAGGAGGACACAAAACAGAACCGTTCGGGCTCCTGCTCCTCCAGCAGGGAGGAGAGGAGCAGCGAGAAGTTAAACAAAGGCAGCAGGAGCAGTTGGAGCTGCTGTTTGCTCCACACTGTGGGGTGCAGAGAGGAAATTCCGAGGAGGGAAAAGCAGGAGGTGAAGGAGAGGGAGACAAAGGGAGGTGAAGGAGCGGGATAGGATACAAAAGGAGCAGGAGGAGAAGAGTAGAAATACTCACAGAGGGATGTGGACCGCCGCTCCACAGCAGGGAGAGCTGACTAAAACGCTGAGAGTCACGCAGCCTGTGGGTTCTCCTCGCCTTGTGTGTGTGTGTGTGTGTGTGTGTGTGTGTGTGTGTGTGTGTGTGTGT